TGTTGAGCATAAGTCTCTTTAAACTTGATGTAATAAGTTTAAAAGAGAAACATGATGCTACTTTGTTGATGTTTAAACAACCTAGATATGACATAAAGTTTGCCATATGTCATGTCAGGGTGCTGTTGTATGAAGGAGCCTTAGTGCTACGACAGTGGTAAGTCTATATTAAGGAATGGAAGCAACAATCATCTTAGCACTAAGATCGCTTGTTCAACGGCACTGAGGTAGATATGTCATTCCATAGTTTCTTATTCATTTGGGTCCTTATGAATTGTAGTAAATTTACATATCATGTATGGGTTTTAAAAGCTGCAGCCTGTTGCCTACAGTAAATGACCAGCCATTATGTTCAGAATTTTCTGTTTTCTTCAGTTTAAAACTGGTGCATTTTACCTTTCTTTCAACGTTGTTTGAAAAGTGTATAGTCAGGGTCTTTGCTTCCAAAGTCTGTGGTTCCTGATGTCAGAATGTATTTCAAACCATGGTATCATATAGATTCAACTGACTGGAGACCAAAACTGTGACAGAGGATGTAAATATTTATTTTTCTGGCTACCGCTGTAATTTAATGAAGTAGAACAACACAAAGATAATGAGTCTCTTGTCGCTGGAAATACCTTAAGCCTTAAGAAGTGAAAAAGTTATCTCTTAAAGAGCCGATACATATACATAATATTGTAAATATTTCAAACAGGAAACAATTGGGGGTATTATGAATGCTGGGATCTGATTCTTGGTCTGTGATATCTGACAGTGAAGTAAAGTGCATGTTATATATGCATGATGTACGATTTGATATTCAATGGTTATTATTAAGAGAAAGAACATCTTCAGCCATTATGAATGATTATTTTCTTAGTGTTATTTACAGTGTGAAAAAAGGTTTTGAAAATTGGCGAAATAACTTTTACTGAAGGAATTAAATGAAAAACATATATTATTTGCATTTTCATTGGTTTATTCACACACCTCTCCCAACAAATTGGTATTGTGGCATTGTGGTTGTGGAATCAAATAAAACATGTCTTTCTGTCACCTGGATGTGTTTTTCACTGGAATGACACAATTAGATATTTTCTTCCATCAACACGTCAATAACAGCCTCTCAAACAAAATACATGTATTCAGGTTTGGGAGTTGTTTTGTGATGTAATGTTCTTGCAATAGTTGTTCATGATATGGATAATAGGCATAGTCTTTTAATTAACGATAAGTTCCGCTTGTAAAGACACAAACTCTTGTTTTACAGATAGATTTTTGTCCTCAGAAAACCTAGAGGCAGGCGGGAAATGTTTTTAAAAAAAATCACCAGTCAAAGCAAAAACCCACATGAGTTTCCATGTTAACTCTTTTGGTTTGTTTATATCAACTAAAACTAAGTTGAGTGAGTTTAGGTTTCACACTGATTTCAAGAGTATTTAAAGTATATCACATTAACATTTTGATTTTATATATATTTTTTTGTTTTTTCGTATTCTTGAAAAAATACGACCAGCGGATTGTAAAACAAGAAATAAAATTTATCTGGCCTTATGGCAAAATGTAATATTGCACCATGCACGTTTTAATTCAATTTTATCTGAGATACTGTTGAAAAAAGCCTGAAGTGTGCAGACTTTCCATTGAGCCAGTGAATGAGTGTTTCTACAATGTAATGACTTCTCAGTTAAAAGTTGGAAACAGATGACTTGATCAGGTTTTATTTCTTTGTCATCAGCTTCAGTATCTGTGTACCATCAGCCTTTGCATACAAGACGATTTTGGGTTCATGTTTCAACAAAAAGCATTATCATTACTGCATGTTTTGAAATGTAGAGAAATTGTCTCCTAACTGGCATGAAATAAATATATTGCTGTATTGATATTGATATTGATGAATTTTGCTGTATTGATATTGATGGAACTTTTGCAGTGATAGCAGTCAATATTATTTGAAAATATTTTGTAAAATACAAATTCTACACTTTCTAAAATTTTTGAGAATTTTTGAAAATTGATGAATTTTGATGTATTGATATTGATTAAACTTTTGCAATGATAGTAGTCAATACTATTTCAAAAAATCTTTTGAAATACAACTTCTACACTTTCTAAATTTTGTGAGAAATGTTTAAAAAGCTGCCATATGTAAGTCCTAAATTTTGAGACTGAAGCCAAAAGCAAAGTTAACAGAGGTTAATGTGGTGATTTGTTTGCTGTAATTGGAATCAAATATCACTGTTTTCACATAGTGTGCATTATGAACCATTTTGGGATTTTCAGATAAATTACTCAAGGTTTATTTGTGAAATTTGTGACAAACTTGCAAGTAGTTAACATCATTCTAGCTCAGGGCCCAGGGTGCTGTTGTACAAAGCAACCTTAGCACTAAAACTACCTTAAGTCTACGTTAAGGTATGGGAGTTAAAGTCACCTTAGCGCTACGATCGCTTTGTACAACTGCTCCCTGGTCCACAAGGTGATCCTCTCATTCAGCTCTACAACTGTCTTAAGCCTATGTGGACCGCCTTCGTGGTGTAGTGGTTAGATTGTCCGCCCAGAGAGCGGAAGGTCACTGGTTCGATCCCCAACCGCGTTATACCAAAAGACGTTAAAATATGGTACTTGTTGGTCCCTGCCTGGCGCTCGGCATTAATGGGTACAATAAGGACTGGTTGGCTCGGAGTCAGTATAATGTGTCTAAGTGGGGTATTCATGTTTCACTGCAGCATGGTATCTCAGCTTAAGTCTGGGCTAGTACAAGCAGCCGCACATACACATACACACGCATGCACGTCGTCATATAAGCGAAATATTCTCAAGCACGACGTAAAACCCAATTTCACCTCAAGTCACCTCACCTTAAGCCTATGTTAAAGTATGGTAGTGCTTCTACTGACTGAGTGAGTGAGTATTGTTTTACAGCGCTTATAGCAATATTCCAACAATATCTGGAAAGGGGACACCAGACTTTGGCTTCACATGTTTTACCCATGTGGGGGAATCAAACCTGAACCTTCAGCGTGATGAGTGGACGCTTTAACCATTAGACTACCACACTGTCCCTCGATAGCTCTACTATAGTATGTCTTCCTGCTGAGAAGGTTTTGTGGAACTGGGCCCAGGTATTATGTGGTCATGACCCAGACTGTAAATTGAAGGGTACACTTTAGCCATTGGCAGGTAAATTTATCAAGTTTTCTTCATTACAGACTCTGACAGTTGAATTGTGATTGTCTCTCAGTTAAGATAATGCCTGCTCCTTAATCTATTTCTCGATGAAAGGTTGTTTTTTTTACAATTTTACTGAAACACTTCTCTTTAATTATGTTCTATGTTCAGGGTGGCAATTGTTATCAGGTTAATGAAATGAACCCTATTCTAATCAATGAATGCCAACAGAAACCATGTAATAATCTTATTATAACTTTCTAGTCAATATTATCTGTAAAAGATACAGAATCTGTATGTAAAAACTGTTACCTTCGTTCGATAGAAGATGAATACCATGTCTTGTTTAATGTAAGAAATGTACACACCTGAGAAATAGTTTTCTTGCCACGTTGCAGAAATATCATAATGGTAGAATTATGTTTGAAAATGTGTGATATTAATGTACTATGCACAATAGCTTCATATTTATGAAAAGGTTTCAAAATGAGACTGACAGAGATGTAACACTCTGGATATGTGACCAAAAGATACTTTATCTTACGACTCTACTATGGCCATGTGGCCTGAATTTCGAAATGAACTTGATTGAATTGAATTGAATTTCACACAAGAATGAATGTTTCAGTTTGAAATGTATGTAGTGTACTTAAAGGCACAATGTCACACATTTTCGACAATATTTTGGCCTATATTATATATATATTGGGGCATATGCACTCACTTTTTCTTCCTATTGATGCAATAAAAGACTTATTATCCCTCATGACTTGCCTGAAATCGATAATTGAAACTTTGAAGTGGACAGCTTAAAAACAGAGAACACTTGCCATATATGGAATGTAAACAATTGCTCCGTACATCGAAAACTGTCGCTGTTTACCAAACTGGTTTCAATCACATGTTATGCATAGCATGTTCGTAAAGAGCATTCCAAGGGACATAACTCTATGGGGTTGCTTGAAATAATGTTCGGCCGTTAGAGGGCGTGAGAGTCGATTTAATGAAATGTTGCATTAATTCATTTGAACTTTTTAATTTAATACTGCAATCTAAATGCGTAAAAACAATTTGAATAAATTATATGGTAGCCTCCCTGAGGGCAGATAGTTAGTATTATTGAGAGAAATGCATTATGTATTTTTAGAGAAGTGTGGTGTAACATAGTGACTTTAAGTAACTAAGAAAAATAAATTGCCTTGTTTAAAGACATTTAATTTACCCTTAGATCAGATTTTGGTGCTAAATCTTTTGTTTTCAAGAATGGTTACTGAATGCCTGTCATTGAAATTGTATAATGTATTTTTGATGACTTCCTTTTCATGAACATGATAAACACTTCTACTAAATATCACTTCTACTTTTTAACCCATCCTTGAGTACTTGAGGATTTGGTAAGAAGTAGTTTGTTGTTAGATCTGTTAGATCTGTTTCATAAATTTTTGAAACTGACCCGTGAAGATATGTGTTAGAATTGATCTTCAGTAACCCATGCTTGTCTTAAGGAACGACTAACTGGATAGGGTGGTCAGGCTTGCTGACTTGGTTGACACATTGTATCCCAATTGCTTAGGTCGATGCTCATGCTATTGATCATTGGATTGTCTGGTCAAAGCTTGATTATTTACAGATCCCCACCATATAACTGGAATATTGCTGAATCTGATGTAGAACTAAACTCACTCACTCACTTTTTCAAATTACTTTTTGTGCCTCAAGTGTGCAGACATATGGAATTGAATTGAAATTAGATAAGATAAAACTCAATTATTCAAACACCATATATTGTTGTTGTATACTACAGAACATCTAATTTCTATGTTCACCGTTTTAACCTCTTATTTCAGATTGAATTTAAAAAGACCCTGTGAAAATGTTTGGGAGTCAATCATCAAGCAAAACTGGCCATCCAGTCAATCACCCAACCACTGAAATGGCATCAAGTTCATCCATTTGCCCATCCACCCATCCAACACGTAATTTCTCTGGTTTCGGCACAACTCACTCAACACCACAGTTGTCTGCATCACCTCTTCCAGGCAGCTATTTCTCGACTGGTTCAAGACCTGCTGAATCCAGCACTCCATCACTCCATCCTACAAGTAACTCCTCTGTCAGTCGTTCCAGCAGTGTGACTCCCCATCCACCCATCCCATCTCCTGTTCACCAGCCGCCCTGTCCATCCAGCCAGACGACAGCCCAGATGTCTACCCATGGGTTGGATGTGTCTGACACCCAGTCAGACATGGAGGAGGGAGATGTGGCAACACTCAGACAAAGACAAGAGGACTTTGCTGACATTGATTCACAGGTAGGACAAATAGGCAATGATTCATTCATTAAACAATGCATTCCTCCATATGTACATTAGTTGTTTTTTTATCAGTTCTGTAACCAGTTCACAATGCATTGTCTTCTTCCTACAATTGACAATCTTACTTCTTGTAAGGATGAATGAAGAAACTTCTATACTGCAAACTTGGCAAATTTTTATCAATTTGAATCAATACTTTAGGTCTATTAATCTGAGTGAGTGAGTGAGTATGGTTTAACGCCCCTTTTAGCAATATTCCAGCAATATCATGGCAGGGGTCACCACCAGACTTCACATGTTGTACCCGTGTGGGGAATCGAACCCAGGTCTTCGGCGTGACGAGCGGACGCTTTTACCACTAGGCTACACCACCGGCCCTATTAATCCTAAGCCAAGGAAGTGCATTTTAGCAAAACACAGCCATGCACCTTTGAACCTTATAGACCAAAGGTAAATGCACTGAGATTTCTCACAGTACTTTTTGTGGCAGCACATTAAGTTTACAATGAGTTCATATGCAGCTGCAACATATTTCAGCTTACACTAATGCTCTCACATCTTTTTGTATTGTCGCCAAACAAAAGCAGGTTAAGCAGCAAGGCTGGGATCTTACTTTTATGTTGAGATCCCAGTGATTGTTCAAGGAATGCACAATGTAGGCGCATATGGATTATGATTGCAAGATACGTTAATAGGGTGCACGTATAGTTTTATGTATTCATGTTTGTTGTCTGAACCTAAGCTGTGGCAGTGTTTTCTCAGGCTTATTACAAATCCCTTAATGTATGTTATTTGATCAGAGAAAAGCTCCAGGGTCGATGAATTTGGTATTACAGCAGATTTGCGTTACATTGTCAACATAAGAGCTTTTATTGGCATTGGTATGTTTGTATAAGATTAATATGAGTAGTTTGTTGGTTCTGAGGTACAGATTCAAGTTTACCATGGTGGATATTAATTGAAGAAAGTATATAGTAGTAATTTGAGAAGAGTATTGGAAACGTGTAATGCATAGGATGAGTTATGAAACTAGGTGAGGGGTTTGCCACCACCATACATCCTACTTAATCACATGTCAGCAGTTTGCCTGTTGTATAGCCATTACTGACAGCACCACAAGACGTAATGATATGTTCCTAGGAACTAATCTTATCAGCATGATCAGTCAGAAATCAATATCACACGGATGCTTATCAGTCTTTGTCTTAAGCCACTGGTCTGAAGCTTAAGTCAAGCCAGGTCTCTTTTATCAAGTAAACTCCATACAATTCATATTGTAACTCTAAATTCTGTTGAAAGTGTTGTCAAGAGTCCATTTGTGGATAGTAGACTTAAATATTCTGAAATCCATTGGAAAGGCATGTCCGAAATCTCCCTGATAAATATTGAAAAAGTCTGGGCCCGTTTCACAAAGCTCTCGTAGCGCTACAACTTTTGTAAGTCAGTTTTAAAGTATAGGAAGTATGAATGCTACGAGAAAAGTTATGAGATATTAGGCTTACGAGGGCTTTGTGAAAAGGGGCCCTGGTTGCCCCTGAAATTGAAATTGTCAATCAGGATGGATACATAAGAAAAACCAAAGCAGTCATTCATTTCATGCAACCATACTTTAACGATAACAATTTCGGGGGTCTAATTTAAATTTCATACATTCGTCAATGTCAGTAATGGGTATGGCCACCATTTGCCTAGAGCACAGCTACACATCTTCATCTCATCGATGAGATGACCCTCCTCGTGAAAGCTTCTGAAATCTGGCGCCAAAGCAAAGTAAGTTCAGACTCATTGAAATTTTTCGGTTGTGCCCCATCAGAAAGGCTCATCCCCATTTCGTCCTACATATGTGTTCTTTTGGTGCTTGGTCCATAGACAGCGATGGTCTTTTCAGGAAAAGATTGTGATGCTGAAGAAGGTTTGTGCTGTGTATGGGTCGTGCATTAGCCTGTTGCAGAATGTGAAGAAGTTGACCTGCCACCATGTTAGGAGTGAATGGTCTTCTCAATACGCAGTGTGTGTTGTAAATGAAACTGGACCATGACTTATGTGTAGAAGTATCCTGCCATGAACACTAACCTTTCCCCAAATCATAACACTGCCACCATCCCAGCAGTGAACCTGCATAACATTCTCCATGTCGATGCCAGACTTTGATCCTTTCATGTAAAGTATGGACTTGTCAGTATTGAGAACACCTTCCCATCCTCTGAAGTTTCAATCCCGATTTGTCCTTCTCTAAAGTACACCTTGCTGTCAGTGATGAGGTCTATGGGGCCGCTGACGTAATTGCCATTGTACCTGGTAAGCATCTGGAAAATGTTAGTTCCCCTTCATCCATGGATGATAGTGGCTGTTCTGGATGCTGGCTTGAACCTGTGTGAGGATGATCGTCTTGGGCTGGGGTCTTTACATATGATTGTCGTAGGCATGGTCGATCACGTGTTGTACCAGTTGGTCATTGGGCTGTGATCACCTGATAATTGTGAATTGAATAATGACAATTAAACTTTCTGGCCACTTGACGTGTAGACAAACCAGCCTCGAGAAACCCTGTTGTAATTTCTCGCTCAACAGTTGATAAACATGCTTTGGGTGAGATAACATGACTTCAGTGAATGGTGGATCACATGATCACACAGGGATGCACATGCTGCTCAGTGTGCATCATGTTTATCAGTCACAGTCAGATTTCTGCAAGCACAGTTGGGGCTCAAAATTTGTTTTGCGTATTCCATGATCAATGATAATAGGGTGATGAGTTTATAATGGATTTCAGAATATGTTTGACACAGATTGTCGTATAAGAATATCATAAATTGTTTGTATTTAATAACAGGTTGTTTATGTTTAATTCCATATTTCAATGACCACACAAAAGTAGAAAAGACATTAGCAAAATATGACTTATATTTCCAAACAATATGTACACAACTGATACAAAATTATGTGGTTTTGTGAGTGTATTTTGTAATATGCCATGTATTTATCATTGTCTTGCTTTGGTTTGGTTCTTGTTCAATGCCGCACTCAGCAATGTTCCTGCTATATGACTGTAGTCTGTAAATAATCGAGTCTGGACCAGACACAATCCAGTGATCAACAGCATGAGCACCGTTCTCTGCTATTGGGATACAATGATATGTGTCAACCAAGTCAGCGAGCCTGACCACCCGATCCCGTTAGTTGCCTGTTATGAGAAGCATGGGTTGCTGAAGATCAATTCTAACCCAGATCTTCAAGGGTCTCATTTTCTATCTCTATGCATGAAACATTATTCTGAATAAAGGAGGTCATTGAGTTAATAAGTGACTGATTTACAGATATGTAAGTTCCTGATCTGCTAATGTTATCCTGTTCTGATGTCCATATTGTTCAACAGAAAACTGTATGATTCAGTAATAACCATAAGTGGCTTACTTCAATTGCTCTCAACTTAAACATCCCGGATAGGACATATGGTTTGCACTGACTTGAAAAGGTCATGGTAGTCTGGAGTTCTTCTTGAACTTACAGTGAATCCAGAAATCCCAAGGAAACAGCTTATTCTTCAAAATGTTCACACTGTTGGAGGATTTCACTAGTATGTACTTCACACTGCTTTGAGTATGTTGAGAGCAATGCACCTATCGTCATGGTGAATGGTTGGTTGAAGTCAGGTTGCTGTACTTGTTTAGATTTATTGTTGCAGGGTTGAAGCTCAGTGAACCTTTGGTATTGTGTTGATGCATAGGTTGAAGAATGCTATGCATTTTGCCTGCATTATGGTTGCAGCATGATAGACCTGGTCATAGCAATAGTGTGGAAGTATATTGGACATTGTATCTGCAGTAGAGTTGAAGCATACAAGGCATGGTATCAGCAATAGGACTGAAGTATATATATGGCATGGTAGCTTCAATGGGGTTGAAGCATATATGGCACAGTAACTGCAGTAGGGTTGAAGCATGCTAGGGCATGGTGTCCGCAGTAGGGTTGAAGCATAAGGTATGGTATCTGCAGTAGGGTTGAACCACATAAGGCATGGTATCTGCAGTAGGGTTGAACCACATAAGGCATGTTATCTGCAGAAGGGTTGAAGCATGCTAGGGCATGTTATCTGCAATAGGGTTGAAGCATGCCAGGCCATGGTATCTGCAATAGGGTTGAAGCATAAAAGGCATGTTATCTGCAGTAGGGTTGAAGCATTTAAGGCATGTCATCTGCAGTAGGATTGAACCACATAAGGCATGGTATCTGCAGTAGGGTTGAACCACATAAGGCATGGTATCTGAAGAAGGGTTGAAGCATGCTAGGGCATGTTATCTGCAATAGGGTTGAAGCATTTAAGGCATGTTATCTGCAGTAGGATTGAAGCATATAAGGCATGTTATCTGCAGTAAGGTTAAAGCATATATAAGGCATGGTATCTGCAGTGGGGTTGAAGCATATAAGGCATAATATCTGCAATAGGGTTGAAGCATATACATCATGTTATCTGCTATAGGGTTGAAGCATATAAGGCATGGTATCTGCAATAGGTTGAAGAATATACAGCATGTTATCTGCAATAGGGTTGAAGCATGCTATGTCATGGTATCTGCAATAATGTTGGTCACCTGTTGGTTTCAAAAGGACGAGGCGTTGTTGATCTGATGGTTGCAATAAGGTTGAAACAATGTAGACCTGATGGTTGTTGTAAGTTTGAAGTGTGGTGTTTCTGTTGTTTGCAGATAGGGTTAAACAGGTTTGACTCAGCTTATAAAATTGATCTGGTGAAGATTTTCAAAACATGCCCAAATATGAAATCTGTTAATCTCACACCATGATCACCTGTACAGGGTTGTTTCCTATTGAATTGTAAACAAACATGATTTGATTGAACTGTGATGGACAGGTTGAGCAAGAGCCAGTGTCCGTGCTGGTAACGAAGCTGTCAATTTATTCAACCACATTGACCCATTGAAATCGACAGGAAACATCTTTATCCTTTCTCTATGTTTACGCTCGTGGTCTGTGCCCAC